GCTCTATGAAAAATGGTGTGTTTGGGATGTGGTTTTTGAAAACAATTTACCTTCAAGCTTAAAGAATGGAATATATAAGAAAAGAATTTTGCAAGTTTTATTGATGAACTAGAAAAAAAATGATTATAAGGATACAACTACTCGTAACTCAAAAATAACTGAGCTAAGAAACATGAAATGTCATATGTTATGCTAAGTCCAATGATAAACCTCAAATGCAATTTCCAAAACATACCTTTGTTCTAGCTACTAATATTGCAGAATCAGCCTCATGAATATCCAGTGGGCATCACATTAATTATCCCTATAAGGTTTTACCAGAGTTAGTACTAGAAATATTTTATTTGTAGAGACATAGAGACAGGTTCCATGACACTTGAAAGCAGTCTTGAACTAAAGGATATTAGAAATAAATATGAGCAACAAAAATAAAACGTGATGAAATTAATTCTTCTGCTACCAGCAAAACAAATGTTTCCAGGGACCTGAAGCCAAGAAAATAAAAATCCATAAAGACAAAGGCCAAGACAGTCAGTTGAATATACTAAGTCCCCATAAATGACAACATAAAACACTAAAAACTAAACAACACCACCCCACCTACTCTAAAGGATTCAATGCAGAACATTGACCTTTTCTGCTCTGCCACCTACCACAGCAATCCCAGGCTGCAGCTGATTTTAAAATTACCACATCTCCAAAAATTATGGGAGATGAGTATCTCAAAAACACAATTGCTTTGATCATATAGGCCAAGCCCATATTAGCATAAGCAGTAATTATTGAGGAGGGGGTAATCTACTTCATTCATTTTAATAACCAATTCTTTTTCGGTTAGATTTGCCAGAGAGCCAAACCAACTTAATTATGAAGGCACAATAACATTGGACTGAACTATTTTTCAATCCAAGAATTTTTATTATAGAAAGATGGACAATTTAAGCAATTATGTGCTTTATTTCTCCCTTGCTCTATCTCCATTCTTGTTAATTTACCAGGTATTGAATTTAACTGGTTGCGTTCTTAATGTTTTACTTCTTGTCTTCTTTTTTAGAAAAATTTAAACTAAATTTCAAGAAGCTGCAGGGTCAGTGCTGGTGGCTGGTTTAACTCAGATCCCCTTGAGCCCAGGCCATAGGGCTGGAGGAGAAGAGGCTAAATTCTGGCTGCTGTGAGGAACCCTGTGAACCACACAGAAAGTCTAAAGTGTGTGCGGTGACGCTTGCCAGCTTTACGTTAATGTATAGTATAGATTTCCCCACACTGCTCCCCAAACACCATAAACGTCCTGCCCTGTCTGTGTACCCATGTTACCATTTCTCCTCATCTGGATGCAGCATCTGCTGAAGAGTAAAGTCACTTGCAAGAAAGCTGACCTCAGAGTCCAGAGCACAAGTGTGCAGGCCCCAGCTCTTCCGGGACCAGTCAAGATGACTTGGTGCAGAAGGTGAGTGTGTGTCTGTAGGACCAGACTGCACGGATGCCAACTGTAGTTTTCCACTTCCAGCTATGAGACCCCAGGCAAGTTATTGAAGACTTGTGACTCAGTTTTCTCATTTATAAAATGGTGCTGATATGAAAACTACCTTATAGAACTTTTGTGAGGCTTAAAGGTCTTAGAAGCTTTAGAAAGAACCCCAGGGATCCTAAGTGCTCCAGGAATGTTAACAACTATTGGTAGAAGGTGTGTAACCTTGGGGCATTCACTTAACCTCCCTGCTTTTATCTTCTGAACAAATAACTATTGAGCACTTACTGTGTGCCTGGTCCCTTCTGTGCAAGAAAGTATCACAATCTCTTATGGTATTTAAAAGACAGAACAAACTCAAATAAGATAACATGTAGAAGTTATTCAAGACAACTCCTTGAACCAAGAAACCAAGTAGAATTAGTTCCTTCCTGCTCTGTTTCCACAATATTTAAAACGCACACACACACGCACTTGTGCATACACACACACACACACACCTGCTACAGCACTTGTCACACTGTATCCTGCAGAAATTTTTACTTAACTATCCCCCTGTGCCCCACAAACAGTGTCCTCCCACTCACTTCTGCATCCCCATCATGGGAGAGGCACTCAATAAATATTTGTTGGAATGAATATTGTCAAAACGATTGAGCAAGAATTCCCAAAGATTTTCCAGGAATGATGGATTATCACTTTTGCCCCTGCTGTCCTTAGAAGACCACCTCAAATGTGCTTGGTTTTTTTTGGGTGCAGTATATTAAGATTCTGCCATTCCAGATGCAGCCAACCTTATGTGGTTCTATTTGTCTATTCTTTTCACTTAACAAATAACTATTGAGCACCTACTGTGTGCCTGGTCCCAAGCTGAGCTCCCATCTACAGTATAGATACCCAGACCAATTTAGTCACTGCATACTAGACAAGAAGAAAGCTATTTATGTAGAATCATCTACTTCTTGAGGTAATAAACTTGTTGGTATGATACTTCATTAGTTAGAGACTCTCAGAGTAGAAAAGAATGGTTTTCTAGAAATAAAGGTGCTTATATAATAATAATTAAGGTAAAAAAATCTGATTGGGTTCAAAACCTTGATCTGGTTTGCACCACATGTAAGATGTTAGGCAAATTACTTAACCTCCCCAGGCCTTGATTTTCTCATCTGTAAAATGGAGCTAGTAGAATTGATCTATTAGAAATGAAAATCACTTATTAAAGTACTTGCCATATAATTAACACACAATATATGCTTGCTATTTTGGCTAACCTTCCTGTCTGTATTCCTTTATCTCAGTGTCTGAACTTCCATTACAAATTCACCCAGCAAATGGTACAACTGCCCAACTTCCGGACAGCATCCCACCAGAGTCAGGACTTTACCACCTCCTATGGTTGTCCATTTGGTTGCTAGGTAAATAGAGTTGTTGATAAATTCTAGAGGGTTGAAATATACATGCTTACATCTTCCACTGGTTGGGCCTCAATCTGTCATTCAGGATTACCCAGAAGAAATCTAACCTTTCCACTGCAGGATAACTCCTCAAACTTCAGAAGGCAGCTGTATCTGCTAGTTGTCACCCTCCTCCCATACACCCACACATAACCTTAGATCCTTTTGCTGTTTCTAAATAACATTTTACCAGATCCTTTATTATCCATTTTGCTCTTCTTAAATAATCTGTCCATCGATGTCTCTGAATGTATGAAGCTCGAAATTCATACACCAGAGCAAATGTGGTCAGATTACCAGTGAGTACTAGAGAACTAGTTTCCCTCTTGAACACTGTATTTCTAATAATATAAAGATGAATTTTTTTTCGAAGCAACATCATGCTGTGTTGAGTCATCATGCACTCCCAATCAACAGGAGACTATCTCTTCCTGACGTGTGCAATGGTAAGCCACTACGCCTCCACTCTGTACTTGTATAATTGAATTTGAGAATCTTTCGGTACTTTATATTTGTGCTTATCAGCTTTATATTGTTAGATATGATTCACTACTACATTTTCTTAGGATTTGTGGGGAGGGAATCCTGATTATACCCTCCAGTTTATTTGCTGTCTTTCTCATTATGTATCACCTGTAAACTTATTGAGCATGTCCATCACTATGATCATCTCGGTGGTGAATAAAAGCATTAAGGGAACAGTGTATCAAATCACACCTGAATTAGATTTTTAGAGACCTTAGTGTGCCTTAGCCTCTTAACAAAGCAACTTTTGAAGTTATCATTTGCTCAGTCAACAAGTGTTTATGAAGTGTCTTCCAAATACTGCTCCGAGTGCTGAGCACATAGTGCTGAAAAAAAACAAAATCCCTGCCCTCATGAAGCTCACATTCTAGAAGGGGAGATAAACAATTTTAAAAAGGAAGTAAATAACATTAAATGTTACAAAAAACAAAAGTAAGAGGCTAGAGAAGTTTGACGGTGGGGATGGAGGGAAGGGCTGTGTATCAGCCGTATGGCTGAAGCAGAGTTGTTTCCAGTTAGAAGCCAGGTATGGTGGGTAGAGGCACTCTAGGAGGAGGAGGAGGAGGAGGATCACAAGCTTGAGCCCAGGCTGTGCAATTTATTGACTTAGCAGAAACCTATCTCAAAAATAAAAGAAAAAGGGCTGGGGATATAGCGGAGTGTGAAGGCCTTGGGTCTACTCCCCAGTGCAACCACCCCCCCCCCAAAAAAAAGGTTTTACTACTCTGCTTATGTCCTGCAGTTTTGGTGTGTCTCTGGTCAAAATGTGCCCAAAGGTGGACAATGTTATGGTTTAAATATGAAGTGTCCCACAAACACTCATATATTCAGGGATTGATCCCCAGTGCAACAATGTTCAGAGACAGGGCCTAGACAGGCGATTGGATCATGTGGGTGCTCAGCTCACTAATGGATTAATTCACTAATGAGTTCATCTCTGAATGAGCTATTAAGGGGTGGTGCCCAGCTGGAGGAAGTCTGTCACTGGGGGAGTGCCTTTGCCTGACTCTTGACCCTTCCTCTGTCTCTCTATGGCTCTTACTGCCTCTCTGTTTCCTGGCTGCCTTGAAGTGAGCAGCTTTCCTCTGTCATGCCCTGAGGTTTCTGCCTCGCCACAGGCCTAAAAGCAACGAGGCCAGCTTTCCATGGACTGAAACCTCTGAAAGTGTGAACCACAATAAGTCTTTCCTCCTTGATGCTCTTTATCTCAGGTATTTTGTCACAGTGATGGAAAGCTGACTAACACAGGCAGCAAGTCTTTCCAATTTCTCAAAACCCCATTTTCCTTATGTGGTGTCATATTAGGAAAAAATCAATAGAGTAATGATGAAGAATTTAGTCATGAAGCAAAAATGAAAATTTGAAGGATCATTCCTCAGACTTCCCATTTCTTCATACCCATAGGATATTCAACACTATAAGAACATCTTAAGTTCCCAGGAAGCAGTCACATCTGATGAAGATTCCAGAGGAGATTTTTAAAGTATTGTCCTACAGGTACAGTATATGCTTGAAAGAAATAATGGAGAAAAAGCTGTAAAGCCAGCATTTACCTTATTCCAATCCCCATGGTCTCAGGTATGAGTTACGAGTCCAATTGCTTCTGGAGAGTCAGGAGGACGGCATGCATGGGTGACCCCAAGGCACTGTTCAGAATCTGGCCGATGAATTCTGGAAAAGCAGCCCACAAAGGACAGATTAGAAATTTGCTTCTATTAACTATTCACTGTTCATGATTCTCATGTTGGTAGATTGTTCTAAATATTATTCACTCTTTAAATCCCTTTGATGTTGTAGGGACTTGATAAGTTTTTGTTCAGTAAAAGACTACTCGGCAGGGTATGGTGGTGCATACCTGTAATACCAGCACCCTGAGAGGTTGAGGCAAGAGAATCATGAGTTTGAGCTCAGCCTGGGGAATTTTATGAGATTTTGTTTCAAAAATAAAATATACAAAAGGGCTGGTGATGTAGCTAGGAGCTAAGGCCCTGAGTTTAATTTCTGGTACCATAAGGGGGAAAAAAAAAAACTAATTGTACTCTTTCATTGGAAAATATCCATTCATTCATCATAGACCTATTTTGTACCATATGCTTTGTTGGTGGTAGTAATACAAAGATAAATAGGGTAAATATGGTCAGCTCTGTGGGAGTAGTGTGTTAGGAAGAGGAAAATGGGAAGTTAGTGACTTCAATGCAGAGACTTAGGAGATGTGAAAGAGTCCTACAAAGAGGTGGGAAGTGTATTTCAGCTGGAAGGTACAACATATGCACATTGGGAAAGTAACAGAAATAATTCTGCATTCTAAGTATCTGAGCCCTGAGAGCAGTTCAGAGAGCATCAGCCAGAGTGGTCAGGGATGGGATTAAAAATGTGAAGAGTCCCAAGTATGCAGACATTTATAAGCCATCCTATAGGGGAGGGAGAATCTGCTGAGACGTGCAATTGATTATATGCTAGAGCTCTGAAGAGGGGGCAGTCAAGGCTGGGAATCAGATTTTGGGCTTGGACCACAGCGTGGGAAGTGATATCACTCACTAAGACAGCAGAAATATGAATACAAGATAGGAGAGATGTGGGGGAGATGGTGACACATCAGCCTCGGTCGTGTCTGTTTTTGATGCCTTGGAAATATTCACAGAACAGCAGTAAGCAGTTAGCGCTGGAGGCTTAGAACAATGGGATTCATGGGATGAGTAAGATACCTGGGGGCGGTGTGTCACAGAAAAGAATCCAGAAGAAAACCCAGAAGAACATCAGCCCTCAAAGGACGGACAGAGAAAGGATCCCTGGAAACAGAGTGGCAAGTTCCAGCCCCAAGGAGAGGAGGGAGACAACAAGCGTGAGTTATCACAAAGGACGAAGGGAAAATAGCTGTGACCAACGAAGGCAAATGTCAAAAGATCAAGTGAAAAAGACTGAGAAGCACCAAAGGATATTTGCCAAGTCTGGCAAGGAGCTGGACCAATAGAGACAAACTCAGATCGCAGTGAGCTGAGGAATGACTGGAACCCATGAATATAAACAACTGTTTCAAAAGTTTACCTTAAAAATGGAAGAAAGCAATGCTGGGTGGAGCGTGCATGTAGTCCCAGCACTTGGGAGGCTGAGGCAGAAGGATAACTGCGAGTTCAAGGCCAGCCTGCGGCACATAATGAGTTCAAGGTCAGCCTGAACTATATAGGAAGACCCTGTCTCAAAAAAAAGAAGAAGAAAACATAATCCCTACACCTTCTTCTCAAGGACAGGGACGTTGGGCCTCATAAAGGCCCCTGTTTAAGGATCTTTTAAGATCTACTAGCTCCTCTGTATTAGCTGAGTTGACTGTGTGGTGGTGCTCTGGGAGACACGGCCTGTGCGTTGAACAGTGGTCCAGCAATCAGTGCTGGACTTGGCTAAAACTATACAGTAAACCAAATCTGGCCCTTCGGTTCTCCTCATAGGTCACTGAGGGCCACACAGGCTCCTGGACCAAGACCACTGTGATGCACGAAGGTATGACTGACCTCTCTGAACAATGAAATGACCTACATCTGGCCGGATATGGTCAGACACAATCCTCACACTGTCATTATCTCTCACCTGTTGTCACGGCTCATGTGATGAGGGCAGCCAGAGGGAGGGGAGAGGAATTTGGTCACCTTGGAGTTTGGAACAGGCATCTGGCCCCACAGCTGGCCAGTCAGCTATGCAAGCAGGGAGCCTCTCTGAGAGCAAAATCCAGAAGCCAAAATAAATGGGTCAGGTGGAAAACAAACGACCGTAACTGAAAGCAGGGCTGAAGGTTGGTCCTGGGGAGTGAAGGTGAGCCAAGACATAATGAATGGACACCGTAAGAGGTTTGGACAAGAGGGGAGGGCCAGGGGGCAGTGCAAGAACAGGGGCCGAGGATGCGAAGAGCAGAAGCTATTATATATACACACACAGAGGCCAGACACAATTATGCTGTACAGATAGGACATCACCACCAGTTCTCTTACCTGGTCCTCCCAGGGCATTGTTCAATTCTCAGGTCCTCATGGCACAAAGGAAAGGTTTTGGAATTTATGATAATCCTCCAAACCTTAGTTCCACGACTTCCCTCTCCTGCCAAGTGGTGCTATACTCCAAGAAGAAGGCATAAAAGCTCTGGCCTGGGAGTTGCTCATGGGTGCACACAGGCTCACCTGAAAAGGTCCTAGAACAGCTCTCCCTCTCCTAAGAGCAGGGATTGTGAAGAGAGGCCAACAGTTCCTTGAGGGCCTAAGTCAATAAGAAAGGTGGCTGCACGGGCTGATGAGTGGAAACATTTCTAAAACGCAATCCTTCCAGGATATCTGGGTTCTTCAGAATGCACACTATGCCCGGACCGAAAGGCTCGGCTGTCCTCATTTGTGATTAGAGCAGAAAAGAGAGAAAGGACAGAGGTAAACGTCACACTGAAACTCGGTATTTTTGCTTTGTGCACAGACAGGCTGAGCTGTACAAACCCAGTTTTCAGAGGGGTTTGTTTTTTTTTTTTTCACTCGAGTCAATAATTATTTACCTCTTGGATATTGCTTAGAGCAGAGTTTCCATCTAATTCTCATTTAAGGGTACTGAAAAGGAAAAACTGAATAATAATACCTCATTTGTGTATAATGCTTGTCTTTCAAAGACATCCTAACTGTTTATAGACTCTAATTTCCAGTAACAACACTTTTTATAATGGAAAGACTAGTAACAACTATTATCATTTTATAAATTAGGCATGAAAGAAACCAAGGGAGCTGGCAATGAAATGACTGCTTCAATGCAACTTCCATTTTAGAGGTGTCATAGCTGGCTTACTTTTCATTTTTTATTAACAAGGCAACCGTACTTTAGGTAAACATGCTTATTAAGGTGTATACTGCCCTTAAATTTTAAAGTGAAAAATACATTCCTTAAGAGAAACAACAAAGAGCAAAATGTTCATGTGTTCTGCAAGTCAAATCGCTCTTGTAAATCTAGATTCGAACCAATCCAGTTCCTACTACCCAGCTCTGCTCTTCCTCAGCAGGTTCACACCATCTGCAGACGTATATTACAGCTCTGGGGTGTGTATCGTCCCCTCTTCATGTGTTGTGCTGCAGTGGCCTTGCCCTCTCAATTGGGTTAGGAAAGTTCCATTATATACAGAAATTCTACGTGTATGTGAAGTCATTGATGCTCTTACTCTTTTATTAGCTTCAATTTGGGATGGTAAATTTTTTGATCTTTTCAAATATTCATTTTCTCACTTATTCATTCACTTACACTCTGAAACACTCATGCATTCATTCCATAAACAGGGATTGTGTGCCCAAAATGTAGAAGTACTATTATTCAAGATGCAGAGAACAGAAATGGATATAAAGCCAAAGAAATCACAGACTCAGGAAACTCACAGCCCAGTGAGGGAAACAGGTTAAACAGTTGTGGGTGATTGTGGTAGGTGTGGAGGTGGAATTATGCATGAGAATGGTTTGGGAAGGCTGGGTGTAGTGACACACACCTGTAATCCTAGCACTCAGGAGGCTGAGGCAGGAGGATTGCTGTGAGTTTGAGAACAGCCTGAGCTACATAGTGAGTTCAAGGCCAGCCTGAACTATATAGTGAGACTCTGTCTCAAAAAAAAGAATGGTTTGGGGAACATAGGGTGGGAATCTGACTTGATCTCTTCCAGAAGTGCTCCCAGAGATGAAAACTACAGCAAGAGGGTTTGGGTATTCCAGGGACAAGGACCAGCACACACAAAGGCACAAAAAGAGCACATTGATGCATTTGGAGAACTATAGAAAGCACGGTATGATAGGAGATTCTTCAACTATTCTATGGCTAGTTCTGTTTCACATTCCAGGCCCTGACATCAACATAAATGATTCTATAAAGGGAAATGTATTGTCCACAGTTGAGTAAGTAAAAACTCATTCTATGAGGGATATGTACCAAAGCACCTTTGGAAACTTTGACTCTGAGGAATATCACTCAGACTAGCACAAAATCAAAGCTTCAGTTTGTTCTACCCAAGGTTTGTAGTCTTTGTATTTCATGCTGGTTTTTTCCAGGGATTAACAATTAAGAGCAGCCAACTTATTCATCAAATTTAGGTGGCCACTTAGCTCTTCTCCATTATTATTTCACTGTAAGATTTTTATACAGCTGTTTCAAAATACAGCATTTTCAAGTACGCTCTGTTGGACGGGTCCAGTTTTTCCTGTTCACCTCTTCCTGACTATTCAGACATGGTGTTGCCCAGCAACCAAAAAGGATATGAGCCAGGCTTGTAGGCTTCTGTTGTGGTTTCAGTCTGAAGTGTCCCCTGAAGACTCATGGATTGAGGGCTTGATTCCCAATGCAGCAATGTTCAGAGGTGAGGCGTAGGATGGTGGCTGGATTAATCCACTGACAAGCTCAAGCTGGGTGGACCATTAGCCAATGGGGCCCAGTTGAGGGAGGCAAGTCTCCAGGGACATGTCTCTAAAAATGTAGCTCCTGTTCCAGGCCCCTCCCTCCCTCTGGCTTTCTCACTCTGCTTCCTGACTGCCATGAAATGCCCAGCTTTCCTCTGCCGCATCCCTCTGCTAGGTATTTGTCACAGCAATGAAAAGCTGACTAACTCGGGTTCTCAACAGCCCCACCCACTAGCCACAGGTGTTTGGGAATGGTCTGTGAACATTTTACACTAAGGCCCTGTAGTGACAGTTCTTCCCCAAGGCTCCTGTCCCTTTGGGTCCCTGCTGAGAAGCCCTGCATGAAGGAGAGAGAGATACAAGAACTCATACAGAACCCTGCCTAGATGAATCCGATTAGAGAGGCAGTCCTGCTCTGAAATTTAAGAAAGGCTTTGCACCCTGAAACCTCATCCTTGTTTCTACTTGGGGATTTTTCACTAAGAGTCCTACATGTAACTCATGCATCTGTTTTAGCTCCTGACCAGTTCATAGAATCCTCTCTAAGCCATAATTTTTTCATGTACCTAATCTTTCCCCATCTGACAAGCATCTGCGTCCTCATCTCTGCCTACCTCTTGGAGGCAAGTGAAACAACATTTGCCCATTGTGCAACTGGAAACACACCTGTAAAGGTCACAGACTTCTGCAATGTCAAACCCAGCGGCCAGTGGTCAATCCTCAGTCCTCATCTTACCCTCTCAGCAGGCCCTTGGGACCGCCAGCCACTCCCTTTGTCCTGCAGCACTTTCTGTACTTGGCTTCCATCACACCACACTGGCTTTCTTCCTACCTCATCCTTTTTGGTCTCTTGCTGGGCCCTTCCTGATCTCTGAATTTTTGCAGGTTGCTTTGCTTTGTTCCTCTATAATTATCCATCCAGTCCATTGCTTTAAGTACCACATTCATAGCAGGTTGGAGATATAACCAGTTTAATAGCACAGCATTTGCCTAGGATACCTGAAGTCATGGGTTCTATCCCCAGTACTGCAGGAAAAAAACAAAATTTTATTTAAAAAATAAATAAACACCATCACTAGTGCTCTGATATAAACACCATCACTAGAGCTCTTGATTTGGAATCGGACAAGGACTTCTTTTCATAGTGGTGCTGAAGTTTGTATTTGGAACTGAAGAAGCAAATGAATTGTCTAAGGGGAGAAGGGTGGTTTTTTTATAAGGGGAAATTAAATAAGAAAGGGCACAAAGCTATGAATAGGAAAACTGTGTTCAGAGAAAAGAGACACGTCTTGCTGGGCATGGAGATGCACATCTGTAATTCCAGCACTCAGGAGGCTGAGGCAGGAGGATTACTATGAGTTTGAGGTGAGCCTGGGCTACATAGTAATTTTAAAGCCAGCCTGGTCTACATAGAAAAATCCCATCTCAAGAAACAACAAATACATAAATAAAAAACAAACAAAAAACTGAACAAACAGACAGATAAGTCTGAGAGGGTCTGGCAATGACCGATAAGGTAGGCTGTAGATATATTTCAAGAAAATTTGATTTACAGTTAAGGAGTCTAGAATTTATGCTGAAGATAAGCAAGAGGTTTTTAGAGAAGAGGGTCTCACTATATATTCCAGACTGGCTTTAACTCAGATTCCTCTTCTTATTTAGCCTCCTGAGTGCTGAGATTAGAGGTGTGTGCATCACGGATTATTTATTTGTTTGGCACTGGGAACTCAATTCAAAGTCTTCACCCTGA